CTGTACCTCCTGTGTTTTGGACTTGATAGTTTCTTTTGATGTTAACCTTGGAAGCCAACATCTACAGCAGTAAGACTCCTAATTACTCATAACGTATTTCGTATACCGAGGAAGAAATGGAGCAAAATTTGAGTCAACATGTGCTGTTCTACTAAATTCATTTACACCGAACCCCGGAACATCTACATCTATGACCCCAAGGTGCGACTTATTGTAAAGAAGTGCAAAAATTACTGACAGTCTAATCTTTGTGGTTTAACCTTTGCTCACTTAAATGACACAGGTAGATTTCTTGATTACCTCTCTATGCTTGAGCTTTAAATGCGAGGAATTCGTCACCTCGTGAAGACGCCCACAAGCAGGCGTTGTTTTAACAAGTGGTACCTCGTGACTACGGTCTCTGTTTATTTTGGGCCGAAATGGTTAAAGCGTTTTGCGCCAATGAGAGAAAGAACAATGGCCACCTCAATCACATACACACAAAATGAGGCATTATAATCATCGGGAAAACGTCGTCCAATCTGCCAAGTGAGAAGCAATAGAAGACACTAAGGGTTCGGTAAACAACTAACCACTTGTTGCGTAAGGATCAACAAGTGTAATTCGTCCTAACAATGAAGCATTAGTAGTCCATGTTCAGCCGTGCTTACGAAGTATCCCAGCTGTGAAGACTAATCCACCTTTAGCGATTCTGTCTGCCTCAAAAGATTCCTTATTATGAGGTATTTTGTGGCGCAGACTACGCCTATTGCCTTCTGAACCTCCAAACAGCACAAACATGGGGCCTACATTGAGTAGAATCAAAATCAAAAGTCCACTAGCAAGACTCCTCCGTCACTGCTTTGTCTCCGCCATAGCATCAAGGGGATTTGCGACTTCATCTTTATTGGCTAAATTCAAATGGTCACCACTCAGAGTTCACCCCTGTGGTTATCAATGTCCACATAAAAAATGTCCACAGTTAAACCTCATCCGTGTGGGCTCTGGTCTTGTTGTGACGGATAAGGGTTTCAATTATACAGGCTCGTGGCTTCGCGTCGGTATACCGGCAGACTTTAACATGCTCTGCGTTGGAAGTAAACATCAGAAGGTGGAATTTATGCAGTAAAATTACAACACCGAAAATTCCAACATGTACTGTTGAGCGGGGATGCCTTAACAGCACACCCATCTGGTACCCAGGCTGGCGAAAATGACCCAGTAGCCGACAGAGCCGAAACGTGAGAGCGGGGTGGTGGCAGTTGTGCGAAAACACATGCGAAGCTGGGGTGTGATGCAGCTAGAGCAGTAAATTGTAACTTTTGCCTGTTCTAGTAAAGAAGACCTTTTTCTCCAAGCGGTAGCAGCAAAGTTGACGTGTAGGAAAAGTTTGTCGCCGGAGAGCAGTGTTCTGGCTGTTTATATCCATGTTAATACACGAAGCACTTTCCATCCATTCACGTCCACAAACAGCCAATTAATGCGTATCAAAATAGGTGCCTAAATTGGCGAAGTGACGGCTCAGTGAAGGTCACAATGCCATTAAGCCGAGGAACGATCGGCAAGCCACTTTATCCCGGGTGAGTAACTAGGATCTGAGTTAAGCGATATTCCCGTGATACGTCGTTGGTTTCAATATTATCGACAGGGAGCACCTTCTCGATGTCTTAAGCAATGATATCGACATATGGATCCTCGATAAATACGATACAACTGTTGAACGGCGATGTGTGTGTGGAATGTTCCAATCGGCTCTACTAGAGGCCATTCCAGAGGTCCACACAGACATGCAACGCCTTCTTTACACCGACAATTCAATTTTTTTGGACTCATTTGAAAACGCGACCAGTTTCGATTGTGTGCCAATGGGTGCCGTTTCGTGAGTAAATTTAATGTGTAAATTACGTGAGATATTAATTAAAAACGTGGAACTTAATAGCCGGTAAGAAACATGCACAAATCTGCCTTAAAGCATTTCCAAAAGATGTTCAGGTCTCAACAGAATACCTCTTAAGCGTGGGCCCCAAAGTCCAAGCAAGTGTTTAGTAGTTAGAAATGTTCACAGTAACAACGCACACTGCTCCATCACACTGTAAATTTCGTCTGAGTGTGCGGCTGATGGCATCGATGGCAAATTGATTAAAAGGGGTTAGTCGTTGTACAGCGAGAGCCACACACATTTCATTAACGTTACGAGGCATTACCGTGCGAATGGACAAGAAACAGCAAAACTGTTAAATCAAGAACGACATCTTACCTTGGTTGCAAAATCAACTGACACTTAAAGAACTATAGTTAGTGTCAAGCATCTACAAAAGGAAGCCGGGAAAAGTAAACCACTTCAGTGAAAAAAAAGAAGGGAAGCGATGCGGTCAAGAGAAGACTAAAAAGAGACAAAGCCAGCCAATCAGGAAAGGGTTTTGCGTTAGCAGAGTATGCTAGAAGAGAGCTGTGCCGAGAATCACGGGGTGTGTGAGACAAAATCCAGATATTAGTGGGCTTTAGTTCTAACTTTGGTGCAGCTTTGGTTCTAACTTTGGTGCTGCTGCACAAACGTTTTCTTTTAAGACTAAAAGTGTAAATACCTACCTAATTTGAAAAAATCATTCATTTGTAGTAAAATTTAAAAGGGCACTCCGCCACATAAGTATTTTAATCCAAATTTTAGCGTAACTATCACTAACAAGGCAGCTGTAACTTGGCTTTGCTTAAAGTTGTACAGCTTATTGCGATTTGCACCAACACACATTAACGACAAGAGAAAAGCCAGTAAATAATATTAAAAAAAGATGTTTACTTGGAAAAAATAGGTAGTATCTTTTTTAACAGCACACTTCACATTTCGAATGAAAAATGGATGCGGGACACAAATGTGGGGAAGTTTAGAAGACTCGGCTTTTAACGCGCAATTACTTAAGTTTGCCTTGCTTCTTTTTAAGGTTCATGCTTCTGGGCTCTCGTTTAACCTGTTACCGAAATAACACCTTGCGAGGTTGCCAAATTTACTGTGGAAGAACCGCATACTTGCAGGCACATTTGCTGGATTTCGAAGCATCATCCCTGACCGTATTCATCCCGTTTAACGAGACAGCACAACCTGCGGAGGCATAGGACCAGTTGATAGGAGGGCCATGTCCGTGTTAAGCGGATTCATTGACATTTTTGAGTCACTTTGGTTTCAGGTTGCCAGCTCGATTCAGCACTTCATAGGTGGCAAAGTGTAGTCCACATGGGGTCGCTTATTATGCCCAAAACCATAATTAGGGCTTCATCCCCGAATTAACGACCCAAGGTCCCATGCAACTCCCCAATGAACAGGTTTTACAATTTGATTAGTATAATTATAAAAAAATAATGTCTGATCGTGTTTAAATGTTATGATTTAATTTTTTTATTTATCCATGTCTTAGTAGGAGCGTCCACAAGATTGAAATATGGTCTAGCAATAGCATCATTTAAAGGGGATCCCTTGTATGCCACGGGTTCTTCGGGATGAGAAAGCACATGAAGTTTGACTCGTCTAAATACCCACACCGGTAAAAGGGAGGCATACTAATAATCAACCGTTTTCATCGTCTAGTTACCAGGATCACTGGACAGCCATACCTGATTCCTCATCTCTCTCGTTGAGACCCCGACAGAAGGAAGAATGGGACAAGTTTGGTTGGAAAATTGATACTTAAGTTACTGAACTTATCTTAAAATTAAGTAAGAGGTCAGCATAACTATATGAGAAGCGACATGTTATAATTACACTCGAACACTCTGAACTCAACTCCATTTTTGAAATTACAACTCCAACAAGCCTAGCGAATTTCAGTCTGCTTACAGCGGTGCGATGATTTCGGCTTTGCGAACCCGTGTCACGATTAAAACTGCCTAACCGCACATCATACTATCTTTTCACAAACACGGAAATAGTTGTGAATACAAATAATGGTAAATTTTTAATATTTACACGAGAGAATTTGGCAGGAAACACCTCAAATTTGGTTTCCTTCGTCGTTTTGAGTTTCTGCTTGCTGTAAGTCCCTGAGGTCTCCTACAAAAAAAATGCAAAAAAGTATATGACAATGTCGAAAAAAGAGACCTAACGGAACATACTTTTGCAATCGGCGATCACATCAGTTAGCTTCACTGGGACAAATATTCGGTTTCCCCATTCTTGGTAAACACCCTTAATGTTGGAGAATTAGCATATCTATGAGTTACCTTGATTGACTTATCCTGGTTTAATTCATTTAAAAGCGCAGATTTCACTAGAGATTTACCCATGATATTTGTTGATGATGGACGACTTACAGCAGTGTCTTTGATGTCCATCTACCTTAACAAGTCCAAAATAATAGTGCGGTTAGTGTAAAGTATAAAGAAAAAATTATTTACTATAACAACCAATAACCAAACCGAATGATTGAACCACCAAAAACCCTACCATAAAAAAATTAAGGAATTCTTGTATATTCAGTTTGTTACCGTAACTCCATTAAATTAAACGGAAAATTACGAATTAAAATGTTCAAGTAACACACCACAAACGCCTAAAAATTTGCGAACACAAAAAAGTGTAACACACCACAAGCGCTTAAAAATTTGCGAACACAAAAAAGTACAATAAACACACAGCAAAATCAACAGTAACATTAAACATTACACACTTAGAAAAGTTGGAACTGTTAGTAGCAAAACATTTTTTTCAAATAAAATGGCTTGGCTCTCTTTGTACAATATTGCACAACGAATCTGGGAAACTGTCAAAAAACGGTAAAAGTAAATTAAAAAATAACAGGAACACCTGCATGACTCATTTATTAGATTTTGTCATAAAAAATATACTATACTAATAACAAAGCTGTTGGGTTTAATATGGAAAAAAATATTTATGTGAATTTCAGAAAGTTTACCAAAATCTGTCAATTTTTCGTGTCGCGTTTTGAAAATTTTTGTGTCATCATCGACAAAAAGTTTTCACGCGTGTTTAACGAATACAAATAACATATAAATAAATTGATTTGCAAAAAAAGCTCAATTTATTGTAGAATTCCTTTATGACTGAGATAGGATTTTGTGGTATAATTATTGTTCATCCATTTTTATAATAACAATTCAATCGTATGCAGCCAGGAGTCAAGTGACATTTTGAAATCTTTACTCCAAATTCCGTTATTATCAACTAAATCAAATCTGTATATTTTAATATCTGGTTCCTATTGAAAACGCATGTGAATATATAACACATTTCGATAACTCTTACTGCATCGAGGTGTCAGAATGGCTTACTAGTAGCACTTTAATATGAATTATATGCATAAGCACGTATTGAAAAACCTTTCTTATGAATTTGTTAACTTTCTCTCTTTCATAAATTTAATTAAAAAATGTTTGTTAAATTAACTAATGCCTTTTTTATTAGTTTTGTGCCTTTTTTAACAGTTTAAAAAAATTACAGTTGTTCTGCATTGGTCATACAAAAAGATTAAATCTGTTGCTTTTTTGTTTTTGTTTGTTTAATTTTTGTAATTAAATATTTGTGAAGGTTGTTGACGATTTCAAAACTCGTCTCGGTTGTAGATCGCCTATGGAGGTTGTACGAGCTGACCCGAAAAAGACATTTAAACTAGAAAGAAAAATTGGAAAAGGCACTTATGGAGAAGTTTGGCAAGCACGGTGGAGAAGCAATGGTAATTTACTAAAGATGTTAACATTCTTTTCTATAAAATTTAATTAAATTCACTTATTAGTGAATTCGGGCAATTATAGTTGCGTTTAGACCACAAATAATCGAAATACATGCTACCTGAGAATTACATGGTGATTTGTTCCTTTTGTTGTTTACACACCTGCACAGTGTGTAGTTTTGATAAACCTGCCGCTAACCTCAGTCAATTAAATTAAATTCTGGCAAAGACTTTTGGATCTTTTAGTCATTTTGTGTTTAATTGTCGAAGTATTCCTAATAGAATCACGAAATAGGTCTGTATGGAATTGGTGAATTTTTCCGTAGTCTAGTAGATTCAACAAATATTTATTTCTTCTCCACTGAACCATAATTATAATGTACATTTCAAGTTAATCTTAAACTTAATATGGATATATACTGTACAATTTTGTAAAAAAATTTCACTGTCCAAAATGTAGTAAGTTACTCACTCATTTTAAAAGATTTTTTGTTAATAAAATTTATGCAAGCAGCATTGGCTTGGTTTTAAATGATTCAATGACTTTGCCTGAAACTATCTCTTTTGCCACGGAGTTTTTACGTCAGATAACAATTTTGTAATGAGCCCAAGTTGTTCTACACAATTATGACATATGTTTTAACAGTAACCTTTACATTGCATAAATTGGCATTATATTACCGATTAAACCTGAACGGTAAATTTTCCAAATGCGGCCAAGACAGTTGTCAAATTTAATTACAGCGTTGGTCATTTAGATTGTATTCTAATTACAGTTGCTCTTCAATATAACATTTTTTTTGGAAATAATTTACTATGATTTCGCATACTTGGATAGTTCTACTCTTGTCCGATATAACTGCAATAGAATTATTGCAATTTAATAAGAGTTTAATATCATTTTTTATTCAGTTGCATCAATTTCGTGTTTAGCTAGTTGCGAATTCGTCTTGATTTATTAATACAATGCAGTAAGTGTAACAAATGTAATAAATGTGGAAAAAATCCTTTTATCGTTACAGGTCAGGCGATCGCAATTAAAATAATCGATGACATTGCTGAAGCTCTTGAGGAGGTTAAGGAGACGAGGGCTCTAAATCGTCTTTGTTACAGTCATCCAAACCTGCCGCAATTTATGGGAGTATATGTAAACAATCCCGTCGACGACCTTCTGCAACCACAGGTATTTATTTAGATCTTAAACACGTAAACGTATTCCCCATTTTGGAACACGTTTAATTAAAACTGCATGACGTCACCTCAATATTTGTATTAAATACGTGAGCTTGGGGAAGTATATTGACAAAGATACCTTTTTTAGTAATTTTCTAAGCAAATTTTGTTTTACTTTGACCCCTGTGAAGTTATTTCCAATTAAATAAAATTCATTATTAAAACTTTTCGGAATTTATTACTAATGCGTTAGAATTACTGCATTTTGTTAATCCTCTCCTCGTATATTTTAATGAAATGGCTTGTTTTTGGGAATATCTACCAGTTTTAATCTTGATAATTGTAACTAGTGGTTCCCATTTAGGTGCTATTATCAGGAGCAAAATAGGGATTTTCTGTACTTTAAAAAAACGCGCACAGTCTTTGTTTTTTTTAAAGCTAAAACAACCTTATTAATGTTCCATACAAACCCTTGTGTTTAGGTATGGATTGCGATGGAACTTTGCGGTGGTGGCACCGTCACAGAATTGGCAAAGCGATGCGCCAAATTAATTCCATGTCTAACTGAAATATGCCCAAACGATCTCCTTAACAAAGCAGTGCCCCGGAATTCCCCAAAACACCCCGATCTGGTGAACCAGCTCGCAGTTGTTCATTGTCCCTGCCTAACCCACCGCCGTGCCCGAAACAAGCGTCGTCTAGAGCAGGGTCTTAAAAGACGCGGGGTTTCCACCAAGACTTCCCACGGTCTTTTTATCCCGAGGAGCACCAACTTAGGTGAAATTGCACTTGGACGGCTGCCAACGCCTGTCATCAAGTATCTCCTATTTTCAACTGTCTCTGCTTTGGCCCATCTTCATTCTTTCGGTGTCATTCATCGCGACGTGAAAGGCAGCAACATCTTACTGACAGATAATGGAGAGGTGAAATTGGTAGATTTTGGTGAGTCACTCTAAGTAACATATATATTGCAGACTTGCATAGTTGCCTTTGGGTACCTGAATACTAATTACAAGCAATTGTTGCTTAAGTTATCGTGAGTCTTTATGCATAATAGTATGATGATTCAATGCGATTTAGTTCTGCTTTTGGTCTAGAAATACGATCCTATTCGAAATCTATCGTGGTTGTGAGGGAAATAAAGTTAAATCGTGTTCAACTCTGAGGAATTAAACGCAGTCTTGCCCAAGTTTGGTCAAAGCAGTGATGTGTATGAATTTTGTGCTATTGTAAGTGTGAATTTTGCATAATGACTATCAATGACTTTTGCGTATGAAAAAAAGCTTTGACATGCAGCAAATTTGAACGTAGAGTTTGCTTCACGATTGTGTATTATAGTTTGTCCTTATTATTTCCAATGAATGAAAGCTATCAGCTCTCGTTGTCCAGTTGTACTAGTATACACGTTTCTCTTGACCCACCTCTACCTATGTTCAAATTTTCAATTAGAGACTAATTCCTCAAGAACTTCTGTATATACTACTGCAATTATACAAATTCACACACGATAGAAACTTTAACTACTGACTAAAGATTACGTTTCAGATCACGTTTGCTATTTTGATTTTTACACGGTAGATTATAGACGCTGGAAGAGGATGTCATCCCGTATTAGTTTAATCGATTTCAGTAATATGAGCAAATTTAGTATGGACTAAGCACCCATTTGACTGATAACACTCAAACTGGTTGAGTATACTTAACGAATCGAATGCTGTTTAGGTTTCACGTTCCTAAGTAGATATTCAAAATTTGAGGCTGTTTCACGCTTACGGCTGTCAAAAGGAGGTGAATTTGCCTTTAACATTCTTCTGTATCGGTTAGGCAAATACTCCAAACTTGGTTTTTGTACAAATTACTGGCTTCTTGCTCATTTCTAACTTCGAAGTTATCAGTTCTCTTTGTACTGCGTTTTAAATGTCCGAAAAGAGATGAAAGAGAATCAATTTAAACAAACGCCGAGGTTTGAAATAAAGTGCTCGTTAGCATCAGCGTTTGGGGAATAAGCATCCACCTAAGGGCTTGATGGATCAAAAGAAGGCCAACCTCGTTATGTGCAGAGTTGTTCCGAGCTATGAGTGACCTCCGTTCTTTATTCATGGCATCAAACAGGCAAATCAACTTAACCATGGTGTGGTGTGGTTAATCAGTCGAAAAGCCTACAATAAATTACTCCTCTCTGTCGAACTGGAGTACCTAAAATCACCAGACATTTAAACCTGTGTGTCCGATCCAGTGGCCACTACTACTGATCAAGCTCTGCAGTTTTTTACTGAAGGAATATTGTCAGGCCACAGAGTCCTTAAAAGTGCGACTTCAACAGCGCTGAAAGGGGGTACGTGCATTCTTCAAGTACTCCCTGCTGAAAACTCTGCAACCAATAAGTATTTTGATAAGAATCAAAGTCTTTTGGTTATAACCATGACTTTCGGAAGTCGGGCTTTGACTTTCTGCAAAACGGATGCAGCCTAAGTTCCTCCCTTCGTGGCGCAATGTTTCGGCAAATCTCTTCATTCGCCAGTGTATGTAGTCAATCTGTTGGAGATTTCTGAATTTGTAAGCTGATGTATTTGTTACAAAGAAGAAGGCTGTTACCGAGGGGTTTATTTGCGTACGAATAGTCGAAGAAATAGCAAATACCTCTAAAAAGTGGTGTGCCAAAACTTCTAATTCACGATTGGTGTGTGGCAAATTAACCTTTTATCCAGATGTAAGAAGTTACATTGATTTGTGAAAGACGTTTCTTGATGGAAGTGAATCGTATGCTGTGCCTAACACTACCTATGGCTTACGTTTGTCGAAATTTAAAGGGAATCATCAGTAGTATGGACGTGTAAATATTCCAATGCATTTTTACGTCGAATTTTCAGCAGACCTGGCACAACGACATTAACATATGATTGTTCTGACTGCAGGAATGCACAACACTTTTTTTGTTGATGGCAAACTTTAAGAATAATCAATCGATTTAATTTAGAAATTTGCGTGAAAGGTTTGTTACCGTTCACAATGAAATGGAAACTCAGGTCAGTTATTATTTAATAGTGTAGAGCTTAACTTCCCTCGCATCAAGGGCATAGGTACCGTCGGTAATGAGCATGTCATAAATTTTAGGATTGATTAAGTTACTTTAGGTAATGCCCCTGATCGATAATGCGCGATCAAAATGCTGGGAATTCCAAATTGGTGGTCACAGGCCGCATCCTTAAAATTCTTGCTTTTAGTAAATCTAAAACCGGTATCGAAGCATTAGCGAACTTTGTACAGCCCACTTGCAACTTAACCGAGGTTGAAAACAGGAGGTCTCTCTATTTAAGTCAGATGAAGGGGTGCGTTCACTCTTCAAACCAGTTGCAATCGTGTGGCGAATAGGTTGTGGTGTTACCTAGCCGAATTCTACTCAGCGTACTTACCATTGGTCCATCGGTTTTAGTATGTCAAGTACCTGCCTTCTGATGTCACAAATCGAGGTTTTCTCCTCTGAGTGGTTGGCATTTCAGCCTTAAGCGCTTTAATTTTTAATGTGCAGCCTCCCAACGTCACTGCTGCGTACAAGCTTCTGTCTGCATTACCAGAAGGCGCATATATTGAATGTGAATGACGTTTTAGATATAAGTCATGTGAAAGGGGATTATATCTTGCCCAAGTTAGCAGCACTGTTAGATTAGCAATAGAGAAATCTCAAGGTAGATTCAAATTGCTACACTTTAGGGTGCTCAGTAGCGCATTTCATTTCATTAATTTCTAATTATGGTTTTGTGATATCGTCTAATACAATCTAGGAAGAATATCGGTGAGCGCTGCGCAGTTCCAAACATTTGTGCCTTTGACATACACGCAATTTAGCTTAAAATGAGCATTCCTTGTGTTTATATTACCAGGTTCTCCGCAACCAAGACAAACCTCCCATTTTAATCAAATTAGCTGACTTGAGGCAAATTTTTAGCAGATGGAGTAAAGTCCGTGAGTAAAATTGCTAAGATGTTTGGGTGTTCATCGGATGCAATCCAGTTGCATTTTGGCAATTCACTAAACCAGCATCCATTTGTGTGCCAAAATCGTTGTTATAGCTTAAAATTAAGGCATTGATTAGTACTAGCGCCGTTTGATTGATCCGTGTTCCCGCTATGGTAATCAACACCGTAGACCCCTTCTGCGCATATGATTAATTCCACTGAATAAATATTCCAGGCAACAGGTTATGCAGGTGACGAGGCGGTCAGTTGCGACTCGCTCTTTCACCGTACCGCCACACGCCTTCATTCGTATTTAATTTGATTGAGTCGCGTCGAATTTTTCCTTGCATCGTCACTTCACAAGCAGCGGCAGCATTTAAGATAACCAGAACAGAAAAAATGACAAATATCACCCACAGTTGCAGTTATTCACGTTTTATGCGACAATACCACCATGGTCCCTAATCGACCCCTCACCTCTATCTAATCGCTAAAGAACGTATTTAATCTGGGCCAGAACTGTATGTAAAAATTTATAACCAACAGTGGACAGCAGGGATCATTCGCAACAGGCAGAAATAAAAGCAAACGTGTGAAATAAGAGCCTGCAGCTCTGTGCTGCCATGCGGGGCGTAATATACTGCTGGAGGCCTTGTAAAATGCGCGTTTTAGGTGCTATCTGGGCGTGATCAAACAATCAAACTATACCTGGATTCATTGTCACAACCCTTCCGCAAATAGATAAGCAGAGGCAAATATGCGAAGGCTTTAGACTAACATGACTCGTTTGCGTTATTTTTACTGCATGCCAACAGGATCAGCTAAAAGGAACAAGAAATTGGGAATTCATACGCGGACAAGGGGGCGTCTTTAAGTCCCAAACGATTGGTCACGTCCTCAGGGCTTGAAATAGAGTCAGTGTTGTCATGGATTTTAAGGCGAAATTGGTTCACCTGTCTTCAATTTTAAAGTGATTATGAAAAGCAAATTACTACTTCCTTCTAGATTTGCCAGTTGGCTGAGATCTAGATTAAAAGTTCATCAACGTGCAAAATGGGTCAAGTAGTAACAACATATTCAAAAATAATTTAGTCCAAACGGTATAGTCTACTGATATTTATGAGACATATTATTGAACTAAATGTACATTAGTAACTCAAGCTGAGTTATTTCTAGATAAACTGACCGCTTTCTTTAATGCACTTAGAACTACAGCGAAGAGAATTATCCACAAGTCGATGCAAATCTGTGTTGATTTTTGTGCAATAATCCAATAATTTTTGGGAAAAGTTCTGAAGTCACGAGATTTTCAGGATATCCCAAAGAAGATAGTCAGTAAAAGGGGTGGATATCCCATCTAAACAAGAAGCCTAAATCATTTTATGGGAAAAGTATTCATAAAGTCAGAAGCATCTACCATCCCTCCAGACCATTGTTTCATAGACGTATGTTCAATTTGTCACCATTCACAAAAAATGTCGTCGAGCAGCCTCACCAATCTTCCGTCAGATCGGCAAAGCGTGCTCCATCTAAATAAAAAGGACCTGAAAATCATTTATTTTTCATTAACAACTTCGCCCAAATTTCCACAGTGTTCTATAGGTTTGGCTATTAAAGCTATCCCCTTACCTCGAAAATTTGCCTGCCTGGCGGGAGAGGCGAGACTTCAGGGCGATTTCTTCATTTTACGCGTTTAGAAGCTAGGAATATGGCGCATACGACTTCACGTGTTGGATCGCTCTAATTTCGCGGGTCTCAAAGCCTAGTGCGTGTGGATTTTGCGGGTCGTGCCGAGCAGCCTTGATAACTGACGCTCCTTAGCAGTCAGTCTGGTGCCACTGGTTCTTGGGCATACATGTTTTACGTCTGTTGGCGTGTTAGACTTTTTATGGATGCTTGTTCATTAATCGACGCCCTACCTGCAGGACAGGCGACCCAACCAATCCCTTAGACTGAACCGCTTCAATCATCAAGGGTGGCTGCCAAGGCGGGGCCTAGGCTAAAGAGAATAGCACCATCATGGCGCTATGAATGCTTTTTTTTCACCATCATCAGTGTGCTGTGCTACTAGGGACTTGTTTCTGTCTTTAGGGATTTCCTGCCGCCTTAAGGACAGCCTTGTTGGCCGAACAACCATCATTGGAACGCCTTACTGGATGGCTCCAGAGGTAAGTCATGTCCATTAACTTCCGTCTTGCTAAATTTGTGTACCCAAAGACTGTTTGCACTGTTAGACTTGATTGTTTAAAATAATTAATATTCCTCTCTGTGTTATAATGCAAAAACCGACAGTTTTAAAAAAGTATTGCGTTAAAACAAGCAAGTCTATTAACACTTAAATTCATGCTTAGCGGGTTGTATAAATTTTTTCAATCTGATCTTTATTCTTTATATATCGGTTTGCAACTGAAATCACAAGGAAAATGGGTTTAAATTATGCAACAAAAATTGTATTTCAATAGTTTTTTTTTGCAAAATGTGCCGTTTTTTATAAACTAATGTATTTTTTTTCTAAATTTATACTTTCAATTCAACTACGTATCACAAAATGATGACGCCATCAACATTTTGAGTATTTTGACTGCTTGAAACATCCAGTTAGTGTCGAGTACGAATTTCGCTCCATCTGTTCAAACACAGATTGTATTCGACTTTGAGATAGCTTTGATGGTCCTCAACGCAGAAAAAGACCATTTCAATAGGTATGGTTCACACGACATATGATCAAGCTGTAGCTGTGTCCCGTGTGAGGAAATTAGTCAATTACTGAACCCAGCGTATCATCTTCCTACTTTTCTAACTTCTCCTACGAATTAAAGAAGTATGCAGCCACAGGAACACTTATATTGCTGCTTCAATTTTTGAAGTCGCACGATGCAACCGAAATAGCTGTCATCAGAAGGATGGACCCATCTACCCGTAACCTCAAGCCCTCTAGTTTTCAGCACAGAGACCTTTTACAAAAAATCACTTCAAATAGCACTATTACATGCAGGAAAGGCTGAAGAAACTGTCCATACCTGCCTCGATTTTCTCACACTAACGACTAATGCGAAATTGTTGCGGAGAGAGCAAAGGCAGTGATATCCCGAGGCACGAAGCGCTATCGAGGTTGTGTGAAAAACCGTGGCCTAGTGCAATGCTAACGTCCTTTTGAAAAGATATCACATTATTTGTTCCCATGATAGTGCCGACATTCGAGCACTTGCTTAGCTTAAAGTTAGTGACTAACGCAATCAGCATGATAAGATGGCCCACACTTACAAATTTGATAATCAACATAAGGCATATTTGCAATGTCATGCTAAGTCTTAAGTATGCTTCCAAGGTTGCCCTTCAAGGATTCCCGAGTCCGAGTTACTCAGCTTCGTCATTCATGTCAAAGCAAAAGGTATAACACATTTGAGAGTTAAAATTTGCACAGAAAGTTTTTGATAGTCACAAGAGCAGGCTTATTACGTAGATTAATTAGAATCCAGCTCAGATTCCATTAATTATGCTGTCGAAAGGTGTGAAAGAGACGCTGTATCCTCGCACACCGACAAATACACCAAGTTTCAGACCATCGTCGAACTATTACACACACTGTTGGCTGTTCACTGTTCGCTTTTTAAACTGTACACGTGCCAACGAGAACATCTGTGTTTTCACCGACGTTTCTAATGAATCTGACTGGTTAAAAAAGGTTCAGCTTCTCACAACAATTTGTCAGAAATTAGTGAGATTTTGAAAGACATATTCACTCTTGTTTTGTCTCCTTGATGTCCGCTTATTTCACTGCGACTTTTGGCATATATTTTTCTCTATTTTTTGCTCAAAAGTACGCAAACATTTCAATTCGTTAAAGCTCACGAAATTGGGTGTTGAGTATTGACACCTAAACTGTTCTAAGTGGCAAAAACCAGTTGTCACAAAGTACAGCAAGTCGATGAGAATTGTTTTTCTTTGCTGAAGTTCTTTATTCCTCGATATGCTGTCTCACGTTAATGATTGTAGTTGTGCTCTTAATTAACGTGAAATGGACTTTTAGATAATCCGTCAATCTTGGAGTTTGTTTTTTGTTAAACTTGACCCTGTAAAGTAGGACTTGATGGAAAAATACACCATTGTTTCGAACTTGTTTCCTAAGAGCTAACGCTTTTTCACCATTTAATGAAGAGATTGAACTATGTAAAATACGGAGACCATCTTCTCCAGTTGACATGCAGGGAGGCCCGCCCGGTAGTTTTAATTTATTGCCAAATGTGCATACGGGTTTATGTTCGAGACCGCCATTAAGCCAGTTTGGACTCCAAGTCCTCAACAGCTCAAATAGAAGCAAGAAACTTAGGGTATCTTGCTATTTTGTCCTTATCCATTATAACTAGAATGCTATACCTTACTATGTTCTCCCCACGCTTAAAATGCATCACCGTCATGGTTGCATGCTGCCTATTTCGAATTCCGCTTTCCGTTGAAACTTCGGCAGCTGACCTGGACAGTCTAAAGTTCCTGATGGGCTTTACCAAGGGTCCATTTCGCCCAAAACATGACCGGGTTCTCACGGTTAAGACCAATAGTGTTTTGCGAGCAGGTCGCATCTATTTTCGGAACGTCTTGTCAATAACAGGAAAATTAATGTAAGAATATCATCATCTTTAAGTTTTAAATTGTGTAAGTCACTTAGATTTCAGTCCTGGTGATGTTCAACAGATCAAATGGAACCATGATTTAAGTTTTCGCCTGTTCCTTCCTCTACATCTTTTGCAACTACCCTTACCGTTCCACGGTTTTTTTACCATTAAATACCATATATAAGTCAAAATATTTTCGTATATTACAAGCCTTCACTGCGGGTCTAAATTAATAACCTTAAGAGGCAATCAGTCGGCTTTGATTGCTTGATATGACACCTACACAACCAGCATATCCCATATGATCCACTCTTTTGTAAGTAAAACTTAATCCAGCAATGTACGCTTCTTATTGCATAGAACTCCTGAATTATAGAATTCTATAGGCAGCTTAAATTAGTATCTCATCAGAGAGTCTAATTAAGCTTATTGCAATGTACTTAATGCTATCTTGTCCTTTTAAACCGTTTTCTGCGAGTTTGTCAAATATGCACTCCAATCCTTTGTGCTAGATTTTCTGACAGGTAACGCCCTTTTTATCCACAATCATGCGTCTCAAAATTGCAAAAATTTAACGTCTCTCGCCTGGTCTCTAAATATTGGGCTAATTAGTATCTCATTTTATAGAAAGTGGTGTTAGGTAATCAGTTCTGTCATACTTAAATCCCCACTTCTTCGTCACCTTTTTGGAATTGGACTAGTTTTATTTCCTGTCATTTCGCTTGATTAGCGATGACAAGTCTGCAACTTCCTACACGAAAATTTACCCTGTTTTTTCCCATGCACTTTGGTGATTTGATTAAGTTTTTTGTTAACTTCTGCAAACGGTCGAGACGTGATGATAGGCCATATTTTTAGCTCCAATCCAACCACCGACGATAATATCTATTAAATCTTTGTCCTGAAAACCATTCACTAAATTACGTCACAAATCCAAGTTTCTAGTACACCTTGGGAAATTTTTTTTCTTATGAAAATAGCCTGAGAATTGTGCTTACTTACTACTCCATCGGGCGGAGTCGAGTGCCAAAGATATTTGCCTTTTATTTCGAAATTGCGCATTCGACGTAAACAGCTATTCAGGGCTTGGGTGTCGGCGAAGCAGCTTGACCTCGCATTAGTTAAGGTTATGTGCGTTTTTGCGGAAATCGACTGGGTCGGGCCGTAGCGTCGCAGGTCTAGGTGAAATTTTTGCAATTGCGTAATACGCCTCTTTCGCAATTTCTAACCAAGAGGCATCATTAAACCAAGACCAAACATAACATTGCTTGATTTGATAGCTGCCAAATGCTCTGCAACATGTAGGAATCAAGACAACCAGGCAAAAAGTTAAGGCTGTTTTATGATCTTGGTATCACCATTCCCTTATATTTTGCTAATCAAAAAAGAAAGAAGATGTAATATACCTGTTTGCCCAGGCTTGCAGTGTTTGTTATTGGTGTTTACAGGCGTCCAACTGTTTAGTACCGATAATAAAGGTTGACCTGTTTATTACGAAGGAACCTGATTACATGCCAGTGCCACTGTGATCTTGAAATGCGATAACATAAAGTACAATGAGAATAAATTAGACGCTGTTTTTGCAGTCGTAGTCTCTCTGCAAGGCACTACACAACTTATAGTGACATGAAGACGTGGATAAGGGCTGGTTTCGTGTGTCACAGCCCTCTTCACCCAAAAATGCAATTCATCCACTTGGTCAGTTTTGATTTAGGCAGACTGCATTAACCTTACTCTTCACGACGGATCAGTTCCATGTTTGAAGCAATTTTGTACTTGATTTAGAGCAAACATTTGCACGATATACTTTACTGGAACTACTCTATTGCTTCTGTAGTCCAACCCTAAATTCCAACGCAATGACATTTGTAACAGTTGACTACAGTCTCGACGTTTTAAGATATCATCAGCATAATTTTTGGTGTATCCGCTCCCCAATTGCGTGTCCAGTAAAGTAAGAGGCAATAAAAGATCTGTCTAAAACAAATCTCTGGCTTATGACACACTGCTCATAGTTGTCTTCGGTAATCGCAACTTATTCGAGGAACATGCTGTTATGAATTGGTACTTGCTTGTTTCTGTGGTTACCTTGTTTGGTACAATGCCAGCAGAGTAAATCGCAGTAAAGCAGTGTGAAGTATTCGGGTTTCCTCAGAGTATGGCGTATTTGTAGGCGATATCACCTAAGTAGCAAATCAAATTTTAGTGGAAATGCAACGCCCTGTAGGAGAATAAAAAATCGATTTTGTGACGAATCATAGCACAGCATTTTCCTATAGGTAATTGATACAGAGAAGTGTGACGGCTACGACACCCGTGCCGATGTCTGGTCCCTCGGCGTGACTGGACTAGAATTGTGGGAGGCAGAGCCCCCACTAGCTGGAGTTCCACCAATGAAGGCCTTCTCTCTCATCACCCACGGTCCCCACCCTCTGTCTCTCTATGCCTCCCCTTCCAGTCTTTCAGAAATCGATGAAAACGATAATTCCAATGAGGTGCTACGGACCTGCAATGACCACATGCCTTCTGAAATGATGGATTTTCTTTCCAAGTGAGATCTGTTTGATTAGCTCACAACATTGATGTGTGAAATGAAAAAACCAGGGCTATTTTTCTGGAAAAACCGGACTAAACTTTTGGCTTTATCGCATATTGTCGATATTATCGTTACCAGGTGTCGGATACATTCAGAGTAGATGGGTCAAGCAACAGACCTTATAGATGATGATTATGTGTACCTCTCTCAATAAGTCTAAATCACTTCTTATGTGTACAACCAAATAACTTCGACAAATGTTCTCCAGTATTTCATTTTGCAAAAAAATATTTAAAAAATTAGTATTGTCTCTGCTGATTTAATTGAGCTGCAAAATCATTTCGTGAAACCAGCTTCACTAGCAGTTAAAGAGGTGCTCATGCATAGGCTGCACAACTCCTCTTGTCTTGATTCAATTAATGACTCAAAGGATGCAAAATGTTACGACATTTTCAGTTTTTTTTTCTTTGGGATTATCAGGCAAACTATTTATGGGGTTCGTTTTGGACCCTGGCAGTGGGAAATGTAGTTGGTAAAGCACAAATCATTTCTGCAGTGTGCTTCGTCTACAAGTCGTTACTCTGTTTGCATGAACTGATCCTCCTATGTAAACCTGGATCTACTACTAGACCGGAAATGTCTGGTAGGTGGGTAACGATTAGCCCAGCTATTTCAATTGTTTGTAACTGGTGCCAACTACGCTGTCACGTCACGATTTGACTCCCAAAATAAAGGTGAGAAAGTTAGGGTTATCTATTCTGATTTGGGATATATTGCATCATTCTTACAAATAGAGCTAATTGGTTGCAACCATGGACCTGTTACTTTCTTCCACAAGTATATTAAGCCAGCCATGGTGGTCTTTGGCAAACCAGAAATGCAAGTTTTCCTACATTTTGCATGGATACATTACAGGGCGTAGTGTGCTGGCGTTTGATATGTGCGTGGTACACGAAATTTTGGCAGGGCGAACATGAAAAACTGCAGTCAAGAATGTTTTTGCAGACCTGGACGCAGCAAAAATGGGACTGCCTCTAGGCTAACACAAATCGTACGAATCAGTTGGCTCCTGAACAGTGGTTATCAGTCGTATCTTTTCTTCTAACACTGAAGGCGCATCATTGAAGATGCCGATCGACACCGTCGAAAGGGCCTTTTTCTTGTCATTGTCTAACATGCTCCCAAGAGATTCGTCAAAGTATTTGGTTACATAACCACGATGTGCAAGTCACACTTTGTTCGCGCTAACTTTTCTACTTCTAGGGTTCTTAAGAACAATAATGTAGTTGCCCATTAGTTCGCTGTGCTTAGTTTGGGTGCCGATAACTAAATATAAGTCTATAATTGTGGATTTATTTATATCAATCCTTGACCTTTTTAACGCGTTTTCCGCATGCTCTAATACGCATGAATGCCCACTTTAAAGTCAAATTCGTGTTACTATCACTTCAATCTGATGGTTTTAGCAGATTTTACAGTTAATGGCTACATTCATTTTCGGTTTTTGTAAGTTCACTCATTTTGCTTCTGGATTCGCTTTTATCAAAAGGAATTCCACACAAACTAGCAATTAAAATGATTTTTAAGTCCACTTTAGACCGTTCTTAACGACTTATGCCATGACATACCTCAGAGTGTGACGTGTTTTAATTTGAATCGTGCGTTCGACGTACCCTTGCCGCCAAGTGTCCACACGGTGGCCCATTTGCGGCCTTGCGGACCGTAAGGATCAAGACGAATGCCTAAATATGCACAAACTATTTTATGATGTTTCTGTTTCAGTTAATGTTTTTGAGTTGTCGGCAATTTTTCCAGGTGACAGAAGATCACCAAAATCAATACTTCCTTATCCTAGCCTGCAAACCCTAGGCTGGAAAAGTGAGTTTCTTGGTGCATAGCCACCTATTTTCCAGTGCAGAAATAATTTTCTAGGTAGGAAAGAGATTAATCCAGATCGTCACATGGGTTTTGAGAATGCTGTGTAACTTCGACTGGTCCGAAGCAGTTCTCATCATGGCTTATCGGCGGTGTGTTTGCAGATCAAATGGGAGAATCGTAAATCTGTTTAACTTCACACCTTTGATATGCATGCCCAGAGGCTGCAGTTTTCTCTCATATGGCGTTGATCACATGCAGGTAGTTTGTGCCTAATTACATTATTGTTTTGCTAAAAAAAAACGATTCACTTTTTCCGAATCGGTTCGATTGACTTATGAAAACTTGTCGTTTAGAAGCAATGTAAAACAACCGCGTGCTTTAGCTGTTTTGTTAGTTATAAAAAGTCTACATCATGCCCAATGATAAGCAGAAATGCTTACCTTGATGCACAATACTCTGCAAAATGAAACTGTCCAATTTTCATCAAAATGTGGACTTAAAGTACTTACAGTAAAATTGTAATGACCGATACTGGATCAAGGAAATCAAGTGAAAAGCAGCTGATCCTTACTTACTAAAAATTTTTCAGTAATTTTAGTTCTAGTTAACCGATCGCAGCTGGGAACTTTGTGATTACTGAAATTTCTTGATTGATTTAATGAGGTCAGTATTTGTTGAAATGGCAAACCATGTTTAAGATTAATTGTGACCTTTCACAAACTCGTACAAAGTGTAATCACGTTTACACGCGAACAAAAATGATCAGCACAACCTAAGAGGCTACTGGCTATATTAACTTAAGAAGCTTGACCAAGCCAATAAAAGATGCCTTAATTCTGTTGCTTTCTTTTGTAAAAGAGGTCATTTTGTTGATTCCTACATGACCAGGTTAGCTCAAATGTGACAGGACTCCAACTATCACTAAATAGAACGAAATCTTTTTGCTTAAATTTTATCAAAATCTTAAAATGTATACCATAACTTGAAATGCACTTTGTTCCTTGCATTATCGCTTAAAACGCGCTACTCACTGCACAGAATACTTTGTTGTGGGCCCCAGCATGTGGTCTTAAACCACGCCGGGGCCACGGAATTAACCCCGGCCCGATTACGCCTCCCTGATACCCGCGGTGGAAGGAAAAGACCGGAGAGAATGTGGACACAATCGTTTACTTCAGAGGTCAACCACGTTGGTGTCGTTGTCGTGTGTGGGGTTTGCGCGTATGTATTTATACCTCGGATGTGTGAGTCATACATGCGCTAACATCGAGATCTAGGTGTGGGGATAATCCAAGATAGATGTCCGTGTGAATGAGGGGAGAGTTGAGGTTCCGCGCGGCTGGCCACATGCTGCGAAAAGGTGGATCCTGTGTCGGAGGCTGGAGTGATCAGGATTGGCGAGTGTGAGTCAATGAGAACCAATGCGGTGCGGATTTTCCGATTACCGGAAATGTTCCAGTTGAAGTCGACTCAAACTCTCGCCCATCTAGTCGATTGGCGCTTGATTCGCATTCACTTTCATTATTATTGGGTGCATATTTCTGAATTATCTGTACAAAATATTATGGGGTAAACATTTCAGCCCACGCTTTTGCACTATTCGCTGAAATTACATGGCAATCAGGAAACATCAAAGCACTCAAGGACTCCTCATGGTTTAGCCTCTAACATGAAAAAAAATTTGGATGCTGAATTTTTCCTCTAAGGTAATTTTTTTTTAGTTTTTGGACTGGTACAGATGTAAATCGTCCAGGAATTCAGCGTGACTCATTCCAGAAATCCGAATGACCAATAAAGCAGCTACACATTCAAGTAACACACGCTTGATTGGCGTACGTCAGTTGTTGTGGTTTGTGTCAGACGGACAATTAAACTGTCTAACTCTAGCCAATACACGCACAGTAATTCATGTCCGTCGAGATCTCGTTAGCACGCCGTCTTGCTACCGCCAGAAAAGGTGTAAACAATTCGGCATTTTATGCCCTACCACCAACTGGCCTATGGGTGGACCTGTGTTTTGCCCTCGCACTGTCTGGCTGACACCCTTTCTCAATGCATAACCAAACTCAATTTATCATGCTGTCAATGGTAATGCTAACTATGGAAACACCGAATTCGCTATTATAAATTTCTGTGGGGTTTCGTTAATTTTCTGTTCAATACTTCCTGTCTATCAAGGCTATTTTATGTCTACTGATTAGAAATATCCACAGCCAACAGGCCTACCGAAACGTCTACCACACATACCTGAGACTAAACGAAATCTCTGAACAGCAATTTTTGCACTGGTGTATTCTAAGTGTCCATGAATCTACCAGTCAATCGTATGGTTGCTCCTCTATTTGACTGTTTCATTTTAGGTGCCTGGATAAAGATCATCGTCGTCGGCCTTCGTCTACGGAACTCTTACAACACCGCTTTCTGGCCTGTTCTCAAATGTCTTTCGCAAAGGTACGTTCGAAAGCGTCATCAATGCTTCTAGTGTGCATGCTTTTGAACGGTTACGCGTGTGTACATGGAAGGTAGTTTTAGCAACTCATGCGACAAATCCTAACCCTACTTCTGCTATATCCAATGGAGTTTCTTCCTCGAAAGCAGAAACAAACCAATAGGACGTTTTCACCACGTCTTTGTTTGATATGATTCGTACAAAATCTGTGCCAATGAAAAACGGGCGTATTGAGTGTGCAAAATGCTTTTGAAAACTGCTGAGTTATACGAGATTTGTGAAATTTGACAGCAGAATTAGAAAGTAATCACGATCATGTCATGCAATCAGGGCCATGTTAAGTCCACTGAATTGTCTTTGAAATCAATATTTTATCACCTAATTGGCCACGATTTCCACCTAATTTCGCCTCGATATTCAAGTGGTAGTACACACCGTGATTTCAGCCACATTCTTTGACTCCTGGTGTTCACTCTCTAAACACTTCAACTGAAAGAAAAATGCTTGTTCAATTCATGTTGTAAGCTCAATCGTTTAATGTCTGCTGAAATGGGTGTCGGATCTAAGTATTAAACTTCTCTTTTGACCTGCGATTCCACGTTTCAACCATTCATGCTTTTATTTGGATGTTGTGAAAACACTGATCCACGCATTAGAAGTGTACGTTCCGGATTATACAGCTTGGATAGGAAGTTGTTGCTCTGTGCGTTTCCGAAGTCGGTCGGTTACACTACTTGAACAGCACGTGTTGTGCTCATCAGACAAGCGAAAGTAAACTTTGGGGAGAGATTAGTGTGTCTAAAGCCTGTACCCTTAAGTTGTCTACTTAAATGCGTTTGCCAGTGAGTGAAGCATTACCATAAACATAGTTAGCCAAATAGCTACCATATCCAAAGTGAAGGGATAAAGCTAGTCTATTCAGATTCGCAAGAGCGAAGACAGAACGAACCAAGATTTGCTGGAATTCGAGTCTAATAAACGGGATTACTAGGTTAAAATTCTTGATTGATCTCACAAGTAATACCTACAGTCAAATTAAGCATGTCAAGTTTCATGCTACGAATTCAACTAAATCAAAACAACCACGAAAAGAAAATCAACTAATGATGGACAAGTATTAACCAAATGCGTGTATGTGTTACTCTATAAATCCAGTTCTATTATGTGATTTGTGTCAAACCTGATAGCACTGGAATTCGCACAGTTATCAGACAGCCACAGTTTCCGGTTGGTTGAACTGATCAGGTAAAAATCAAGCCATGTGATGTTTCTAACCAGCCGCAGTCATATCAGGAACACGTCAGATTTGCAAAAGGGCCTTATTTAATCTTATGGCTGGGTCTGTTAGTCAATCAAGCGTAAACACGTACATAGCTTATTCGATTTTAGTGCGAAACCAGTTCTGAGTAAGAATACTTTTCGGTGAAAGGTATTAGGTCTCCGAATGTCAAAGGTACAATGCACAAGGGCATGGTATCCTCTTAGGAAGAAGATACAAAATCTAGCTTAAGTTAAGGAGCACGCTAAAATATTTGACCTTTACGGCAAGCTGGTAATTGATGAACTATTGCGGCTGCTAACTTCAACGGACCTTTATACGACGAAGCGGCTAGTCAAAGAAATCAGTGAACGAAACCGAATCTGTATCTGTTTCGGAATCGTGTAAATACTTTCGCCCAGGCTTTAACCTTAACTCTGGAATGGTAGCAACTATGTTCTAGCAACAACAAAAAGCTTGCGTAATGGGAAGTAGAAAATTTTGGCAAAATGCAAACTTATTCCTAAACTATGTAATTTGCAACCAATTGATGGTCGAGCATGTCATTTGTGCGATAGTGCGGTTCTGATAAAGATCTAATTTGTCGGTTTTTCCTCACTTTAAACTGTCCGTGAATTTACAAATTATCTCATTATTCACGTATTCACGTTCAGCATTTTGCGTTTGATGCTGTGATTTTGGAAAAGGACAAGTTTTTTTAGTACTATATCCTTCAGGATCTTTTGGTTTCAAGTGTTATTTTAGTTAAGAGTTAAAGGTTTTCGAATATGCAACGAGAAGTGTTAACGTAGGTAAAATAGTTTAACTTAGTAATGAGAGTAATTTTAGCCTCTGTTTGGTTATCATCTTTCAACGGAAATCGTTACTTGAGTGATTTTAAATTAACACTTGCGAAGTGTATGATGCCTAAGTTTGATTTTAACAGTTGATATAAAAGTGTAGGATTGGTTTGAGTTTTACGTTTGTTATCACAAAGACATACAAATGAAGTTTTTTTTCCAAATGTTCTAATAGTTATTGGCGAGAAAAAAATCGATATATTGTTAAATAATAGCGGAGACCTGCCTCGACAATTAACCAAGACACAAATAGACCCCATGGCGACAACATAAGGATGAGAAAATTTCTTGTTTTGTGAAAAATGAGGACCAAGTGATCCGCAAACATCTTTGTCTCATTTGCATTTGTGAAGTCTAAACCGCTACCGTAGAATTCAGGATACCTTCCTGCGGGAAGAGCTGCTGAGAAGGACAGCGAACTCGGCATTCAGAATTGAGGAGCTGGACACCTATGCGCGGCTGTCCAGCGATTCACGAAGAAGCAATATTTATCAAATGACATTTCCACACTCTGACACTTGACGTTTTCTAAAAAGCCATCGCACCAGTTGTAGGTTAGAGCCCCACCCATTCATCTAACCAGAATGAATTAAGCTCCAGTTTTCTATGTTTCAAACCGCCTTCCCATTACAAGCGTACCTTGCTGCCAGCAGAATTTAGTGGCTTGTGGTCTAAGCACTACCTTACAGCCCTCTAGTTAACAGCCCGCAACAACCCGAGAATGGAGAGAGGAGAGACGACAGTGGACACGACCGTTTATTAGCGTCACGCCAGCCAAGTGTGTCTTAGTATGTGGATGAGTGAACGGATGACAGGCGTCTGATAACAGTAACCAATGAAAAGGGGATTAGTCCCTGTCACCGTCAGGTCGGTGACCAGGGTTCACCCAGGCGCGATCGCTGTTAATCCGCTACAAGAATAGGAGGTCAGAAAACTGAACTAGGTGCCCAAGTTATTCATTGAGGGCGTTTGCTTTAGGTACTTTTGAATGTAAATCTACCATTTTGGTGAACAGTCGCCAGTGAGTTTGATGGTATACGTAGCAGATAGTTAAATTTAGCAATCGCACTAGAGCTCCATAAGGGCATGGAAGTGTGGACTTTTATGAGGATAGCAACCTGCTGAAAGGAAGTACGCAATCAAAGGCTGTGGCACTCGAGAGCAATTTGAAAGACGTTCTCAGCTTAAATTTCTCACAGTTGCCGGTTAGCACATGAATGGGCTTTTTTGCGGTGTCTTGTGAGTAGCCAATTTATTGGCATCGATTGCTCAGTTGTAAGGTTTCACAGTGCTTGCAACGAAGGTATTTTCATGTCAAAATTGTAGGCAGCCGGCTAGGTTATCCTTTAAAGTTCCCAAAAGTGGACGCAAAACAGTGCGAAGTGTCGTGCATTAATTCTTACCATGTTGAATTAGATGCGAACTTATCTCCTTCAAATATGATCATTAAATGATTTGCAGTTAGTGAATTTATGAGCTTGGAGACGAAGTTTAATCAGCTACCAAATGATAGCCTCTTTTAAACAGGTAATAAATTACTACGAACGTACCCACAATGCGTAGAATTGCTAAAAGGGTTTCTTTAGGGATTCAGTGCATCCATAGGGGCTTCAGTAACGGCAAATATTTTAAAATGACGCTAGAAAATACTTTTGGGCCAGATTGTGGTGTCAGAACTTATTTTAACTTCTTTTTGTACCTGTAATTTATGATTTAAAAGGGTAATTATACCAGAGTGCTTTTTCTTGGAAGGGTATGTCTGGTGGTCACAAGGAATACAGTAAGCACAAGCAAATAGTGATAAATAAGACCAAGTAGATATTTGAATTCATAACAGTATATAAGCCTGTCCAATTTGCAAAATTGTCTCCTAAAGCAGTTGTGATAAACGGAATCTGTAAACTGAATCCTGGTATCATTTCTGCTTAGTGACACCCCTGAATAGTCAACCAAACTACAAATTCATAATTGTACCTAGAAAAGAGCACTCTTCCACGCATTCAAAGCTATTGGTCTAATGGTCATCCCAGTGCTAAAGTGAAAAAAAAAACGACTACTTGGTGAAAGATTATTCAATACCTCGCTTACCTGTGTTTCAATTAACGCAAACAAGTCCTCTGTCTGCATTGAATAGCCGTCAAGGTGTTCTAGGTTTACTAGCATAACCTTGAGGCATCAAATTCAAATAGTGGATGTCTAGTATAAAAGATGCGTTGGTAGCGTCTTGAATAAATGACTAAAATTGATTCCAGAAAGTGCTGATATCAGTCTCTAAGAGGTCATCATCTGGTGCATTTTCACCTTCGTCTGCCATCACATGCCTGCACGTTCCATTCTTTGTGTTTAATGGATTTACTGAAGCACGTATTTCGTGTATCTCTTGCTTTTAAATTAGTTGGCAAAAGCATTATTTTCCTTGTTAGGCTCGCAATCTTCTGCTTTCCCTGATGCGCTCCCTCCCCGCTACTGGCATTGCCGCCAGACGTTTATCCGAGCCGCCGAAATTGAAGTACCCTCTAGTGAAGCAGCAAATGGAGCCGGTTAGTGAAACAGAAGCCAATTTGGAGTCTAGGGCTGGTGACGTGGGGACTAACATTGCACCATCAACAGCCAATGCTTCCATGGGCCAGCGGTACACGTCGACCGTCTCGTTAAACATCTCGTCTTTATCCTCCGTGGTTTCGACTCCATCAGCCGTTAACACAGACACTGCGTCCACTGTCTGTGCAAGGAAGCTGAGTGCAGATAATCCACCTGACACAGGAAGCACAAGTAGGCAAGCATGTGTAGCTAGGAATGGTGCTCCTAACAATTGTGCCTTTTTTTAATTAAATGCCACTTCAAACGATTTGAGATGGTTATAATTAAAATTAAAGCAAGTTTTCTGCTGAGCTGCTGATCTTTATCCATTTTTTTGAAAGATAACACCCAAGAGTCACTCCTAACTAACGCAATGGACCCACCAACTTATCCGTATCCCCATCAGAGCACCCTTCGGGGTTCCACTGCATCCACGACGACCAGCACCATGGCCGCTTCGCCCCTTCATCGCAGTCAAAGCGCAAAGTTCTGCAGCTCCGCACCAACTTCTTCCAGTGCCTACTTCTCCGGTAACTCCAGGACTGAGGACTACGAACGAGGAGTGGGGGGTGGAAAGGAGGAGATCGCAGAGCCCCGAAGTGACATCGACATGGAGTCCTCGGGAGAGTACGAGCGCGAGGAGGAAGCGGAGCTTCCAGTGGAGTTGGAAGTTGATGGCCCACTTCAGGTGATTACTGGACTCCCAACTGCCCGTAAACTAATTTAGCGTTTTTCTTTGGGGCTTATTACATTAGAGAGACACTGCGGTTCTTTAGCGTACAAGCTAGTAAAAGATAATTTGTACTTTCTGAACACGGAAAATGTAAAAATAAGTAGCCAGAGAGCTGTTCAGTGCTTTTCAGGAACGGAAGCATCCAGCTACCTCCTGTTTTCTTGTTCAAAAGAGTGGTGCTCAGTTTCACACTCTGCTTAGATACTGTGATTTTAGGCCAAAAGAGGCATTTGTTATGTCTAAGAAAGTATGACAATCTATTGCCTTCCTAAGTTATCCCGATGACCTGATTAAATAGGTTTATTGTGAAACTCATTGAAGCCTTACAGTTCTGCGCGCTGTTTCACGCTTCGCGTAAATGCTTAGATATGCAGCACGTCTAAAGGATGCCTCTAACAGCCTCTTGTATACCACATTTGGTTTTACTGGCACTGTCTAATGAGATTTTGGCTTGATTGATAGCCCTGTGTTCCACTTCATGCCGGAAACCAATGGTGGAACTTAAACTCAAAGCTCATTGTTATTTATGCAGTTCAGTGGTTCCAAATTACTAGCCCGAGTTGGGAAGCAACTATTCTCTCGCTTGTTTTCAGTTCCATTAATTGAAGGCAATCGAGTCTAGACTAACTTACCAAGGCTTTACTCAGTCACTGGTTTAATTTTAAAGCGAAATCACCGAACTCAGCATTCCCATGCAGCTAATTTTTGCCATTCGGATTCATCAATTTGTGTGCTTGACACGGATTTACCCCGGAATCACACGCGCTCAAGCATGTGATGTTTTAGCCAGCTTCGACAACACAATTCCATGTCAATTTTTTTGCAGGTTTTTTACCTTGTATGTCTGTCGTTTTGCTTGTCAGTCATCCCACTTTGCATTACAGCCCCCTTCAAATTTCTCGAAGAACCGATTGTTTTCTTGACGCCTCGAAAATGTCACGTTATTTATGCATTTTTGGGCGGAACCAAACGGAGCACACTTAGTCTAATCACTGGATTCTAGGTTTATGTCTAGGTATATTTCTCTGTCTCGATTTAGTACCTGTTAAAGCACATTTCGTCTGCATTTATAGCGCTCTTAATGGCTAATGCCGAACACGAGCAAATGCCAAGACACACTATGCCCCTGCCACGTGATGGCGTCCAAGCGCTTCTCGAAGCATTCCATCACCCTCTGTGGTTTTGTTTCTTGCAGGCGCTGAAACAAGACGGTTGTTACACAGACGTCAACGGTGTTCTCGTGTACACCCCTCCCACATCCGAGTACCGGAGCCTCTTTCAAGTGGACAAAGATGAGTTGACGCGTTTGGCGGCTAAGATTTTGAACAAGGCTCGGGGAGAGGGCAGAGACCAGGTAGAGTGTTCTTCGGGAGCATCATATTCATCACTAAATGCCCCCTTATTCATAACTCCTCAATATTCTTTCACTGCATCGTATTATAATTTTGTTTTGCAACTGCGGTAGCACCGTTTCAATTCCTTCAACTTTAAAATATGTTTTACGTTGTTAACAATATTTCAGGCCATAGTCCCTCAATAGTGCTAAGTGTGGAATTTGAGGACGGAATTTCGCATGGTTTGTTGAATTCTCGAAAGAGGTGAGATTATTTAGGCGTTGATTTACGTGTCTCCAGTCATCACACGAGATAAAACGATCAGCATTGCATTCAGATGGCTTAGTATTTTTCCATTACCGACAACCAGGAGCCCTAGACTAAGAGCATTTTTTTCTGTTTAATGCTTAGATTGTCTGTGTCGTCGGAAAATCCCACGATCCAGCCTTCAGTTTGTGCCAACTCATTTTTGAAGAAATACCTTTCCTCCTTGACACCACAAAAGTAAGTCACTTAAAACACAGTTAATGCTTTATGCATGTGAAATCCACTAAACACTATTGGCAGTCATCGAGCAAACTTGAGAACTCGCACTGTTAATTGCGCTAATGAACCGACTACTCGCTTAATTTTTACATCACTGCATCTTGCCTACCTGGCATAATTTTAATGCAATAAAATCAGAGTAAATGTTTAGTCAATAAAGCTATCGATGTGTTTTTTTTTGCCTTTTTTTTCTTTTCGAACAGGAGTTAATTCGCACCACCTATCTTATCTCGGAGAAACTTTGTGGGCGACAGGAGCTCAGTCTACAGAGCATTGAATTCGCGCTCTCCAAAGATTTCAGGGCATTAGGTGGTGAGACTTGTGACCCATGACTTTTATCACATATCAGTTTTCTGTGTTGTCATTGGAGGGCCATGTGAGTGTGTCATCAAAGTGGTATTTTTGGCTTCAGGACTTCTGGTGTGGCGTAACTGCCTGCGGAAGTGTTGATAAACGCTGATAGGTACACGAAAATAGGTCAAGAACTGAATTGGCTACACTGAGATAACCAGAGTGTATTTATTTCATTAATTTTGTGTTTATATGGGCCCTACACTTCAAAAATGGATTATTTTACATTCACTTAGTGAAATTCGAGTTGTTTTTGGGACCGTCTGCTAAATGAGGCTAGTTAGACAGCCAGAGGTTATAATTTAGTAAATTGCATATTTGTAAAATATCCTATAACCTGTCAATAAAACAGTGATTCGTGGGATCTGTGGCTAAAATGAAATCTCTTCCGTGGAAATCGTCTATAAGCAGCACCAGGGTTGTGTCCATGACCATTACTGAAACCGCCAACTTCACACCAGCACAAACGCAAAATCCCGAGTGCTTCCGGGTCTCGCAAAATATTGGGATTCATCACACCAAGGTAATCTCCAAGCAAACAACCACCAAGAATGTTTGGATAGCAACGTTTATTTTCCCAGGATGAGAGGGTCGTGTGTTCAGACATCATACGATCGACCTGCTGATGTGGGAAATTTGTGAGCAAATAGCATGATATGTGAGATCCCATCAAATGCTCGAAGTTCTTTTGCTTTAGACAAGCTTAAGGCCACATTGTTCGCGTTAAGTGAGCAAAGCTGCTTTTTAGACATCGAAGAGATCAAAAATGGTGGTGTTAGAGAATACGGTTCTCCTGTCCGTAAGATCCGCAGGATTGAGTTCGTTCTGTCTCACTGAGATAAAGCCTGTAGGAGTTTATGAGTCAAAACACCAGCTCGCATCTAAATTCAACCTTTCTCTCAGCTAGTGTTATCACATGATGCTGCCTAGTGCACTACCACGCATTGGGGCTGGTTGCACTTGTGTCAAGTCTATCATTAGGTGATCCTAAATGTTTACTTGAACATCGAAGATCTCAGTGGATGAAATCCATCATGAACTCTGACAAGGGATTAAATTAAGTTAATTGACAGTTACCTTAACATCATTCTCGTCTGTGTAATAGACATGCGAGTTAAGTTGGTAATTGAATCATATACAAGGTCAGAATTCTGTGAGTATACATGAACGTGAAATTGTTTTAAAAAAAAGTATAAATAGGAGAAAAAACCTGCTGAAACGCAGATGGGTCTCTGTGGCACATGTCAATCGGTAAGGTGCTGTTGGTGATGAGAATTCTGAGGCGAAAGTGTGGAGGCATCCGTTTTTTTACCCATCTGCAATGCGTTTTGTGTGGTTGAGTCTAGCGCAAAGACAACGTGTGATTGACAATCGGTAATCAGCGATTAATGTGTAACTTAAACTAACTGTAGGGCGTAACTCTTGTAACTAGCACATACTGCTCCCGCAGCGGCCGCAGATGTTCCCAGTGAGCTGAATCAACTTAGTTTGTTTTAGTAATGGATGCCTTATCTTTCTGGGTTGCTCTAAAAACTTGTTCTGTCGTCATGCACTGAAAACTCATTTTAAATTCAAAATGACCTCAATTAATTGCTGAAAACTGTTTCTGACAGGCCACACAAACCGAAGGTTTTACCATTCGCACTGTTTGAAAACCACACGAATGGCCTAACTTTGTCTAAACTGCATTCCGAGTATTTGGACGCAAAATGATTTATGCTTATATCTAATATATTTAACAGGTTCATTTGTTTGTAGTATCTACAAAGGCCTCCTTTTGTCCATACACCAGCTTTCGACCGCTCGTTGACAGCCCGCTTCTTCGTGGATTTCGGGCCCTCTTTGCGTTTAGGTAAGACGTCTTATTGGTTAAATGTGAGATTTTTCCACCGGCCAATTGTTAAGCACCAATAATGCGTACTCCAGCTGTTTTTTTAATTGGCCAAATTCAAAAACCTCTGGTTAATAGATCTTCATCACAGTCTGAAGCAAATTAACTAGCAGCAGGTCTGACCGATTTCCATTTTTTGACGGTTACAGACGCTTTTGGCAACTTATAGTCAGAGGGCTTCCACTTTCGACTGTTCGTTTTTTTTAAATTAATGGCTCTAATTGGCCCTAACCTTTTAGAAGCCAAGATGACTTATCTTAAACACACTTAACTGCAGCGTCTCTGTTTGATATCTTAAACGTAGATGCGGACTTAAGGACCGCTGATTTCTAAGCACTGTGAGTAGAGCTTAATTATTAAAATCTTTCAGTCGTTTGTGTTTGATCTGCAGTAGCTGTCAAAGCAAAAAATGATTCATTGGCCCAAGTCAAGCATTTTACCTGCCGTTTGAATTTTCATGAATATACCGATTTATTAAATTAATCTAGCTTGTGTATCTGCGTGAAAATAAAGAACGTTTACTAATTAAATCTTTCTGTATATAATTCGAATCGCTTTATCTAACATATTTCTTGTAATTTCCCCCCATTGTAGACCGACCAATGTGTGCCAATCAAAAGGTAACTGTAAGAGCCCTATTCATCCTGGAATAAAACGGTTTGACTAATTATTCTTGTTGACTGCCTTTAGATATTTCCGAAGTTGTTCAGTTCCAACTTCTAATCATGTCGGCTGGATTCAGCCCCCAAGTGAGTTACCATAAATTGAGACCGATTAGAACCTCTTCTTAATGATATGCGTTACTGTGCTCTTCAGAAATTAGATTGTATCCCGAAAAATGGATAATTTATCTTTTTTCGCTTTCAGTAACTTTCAGGAAATCTTTTCGTGGCGTAATAATAAGCCAAACTTGTAAAACTCCAGAACTCTCAATGGCTGAATAACTACGCAGCGAGTTCTTTATATTCTCTAGCTGAGGGTATTGCTTCATTGGCTGCACGACTTGTCTAGTTAACCAATGAAAGACTAGCTTTTACTGTTCTACTGTGCATCACAGTGCATCGAGTTAGCACCGAATCAAGTGACCGTCGTAGTTGCATCCAATAGGCGTCAAGGAAAGTTTCTTTAGCAGCTGGTTGGTCAACTCCGAATAGCTCATCATCTCGAGTACTGAAAGGTGCCCCCATTGATTTCGGTTGTAATCACATGTACGCGGGTCCGTTCTCATCCGAAGGCGGCAGCCAATGTCGTATTACTTTGAAATTGAATGGCTTATTTTTTTTAAAATAATATGATATAAAAGAATGTTTCGGCAAGAAACACTTGTTACTTCATTTAAATTTTTGGGCCATTTCACACGATGAAGTCTTTAAACAGTCAGTGGTTTTGGAGTAGATTTCGGGTTTTTCTTTGTACACTTCGGACGCCACATTAACAGATATTCCAATTTCCGCTTCTCAATTATTTACTGAGGAAAATCAACTGACATCATTTGGTATTATCAGCTTGATTGTGGATTACTTTATCGTGTAGAAGATTGACAAGTTACCGAGGCGATGGTAGACAGCCCAAGGAATTAGTGGGATTGAGTAATTTACGAAATACAAGTCAAATCATCTTAGGGATTTGTCTTTAATCTTTCTCATAATTTAAAAAAAAATATTTTTATTCCATGTCCTATTTTATAGGTGCTATGGTAAAGACTGAATGACAACGTGATTGTGTTGTGTTCGGGTATAACGAATTCGTAGATTTCCCATCCACCCAAAAGTCACGGGCGTGTCTCCAGGTCGCAAAGGGGCCGATTAGGGCTCTGCGACTGGGACCTCAGAGGTCAAGAAGGCTGTTAAATCCGGATCCACGAAATAAAACGATTAAACAGGCTTTAAGCTTTATGGGAATGATGCCTTTTTTTCTGTCAAAAGCTTATCTATTTATTCGAGTTACCACCAAACTACTTTCATGCCTAACTGTGCAGTTATTCTAATAAATGCTGCAATAAAACCATGCAATACATTGCCTGACCATTCCATTTTGTTAAAATCAACTGCAATTGTTTTTTTAAGGTAAAACGATGTATTAACCAAAAAGGATAAAAGTAGTTTTGGCTAATAACAAAGGATTAAATACCTGTTCATTATATTCTAGGACATAATCGGCATGTACAGAATTCTTTTGGCAGTGGCTGGAATGACTTCTCTAGGGAGGTCTGCAGTCAAAGTAACGAAGGTCTCGCCGACGATTGGGAACCTAAGAACCCTCCCAGAGAACATTTATGACAACATCCAGAAAAATATACTCCGGGGGGATCCGCTGAATCCCGCTTTGTTACCTTTTGTGACTCCTGAAGAAGGTAACTCCTTCTGTACAGCATGCTGTATAGAATCAACAATTGAGATTCTGGAATTATAGGATGCCCTAACCTGTTAATATTCAAACGGAGGGCAGGCAGGAAAGTTCTATCATGAGCGAACTTATAGTGACCATCGTCGTCCTTGAACCACGTAGTCTTCATTTTATACCACTTCAGAAAGATCGCCACCTAAATTGTAGTATCGATGCAGAATTTCCATGGTAACACTGTCTATTTTCACCTTTCGACTTTCACGGTTTTCCCACTGCATAATCCGGAAGGCACTTCATGAGTTTACGAGGTCAAATCATGCTCAGTGGGTTTAGATTGCCATGACAACCCAAAACTAGATCAAGAAAGTTCGAAAGGACAATCTGTAATTGATACATTTGTAACTTTCACTTCGACTATAATGTATATACATGATAATGTGCCTCACTGGAGACATTGGGGTTTACTGTAGGATAGAACTATCTATGATTATTAAAAGTAAAACTGTAGACCAAAAATGATTGAAATATTCCAGTTCTACTTGACAGACAATCCAGTGACGATACCGGGACCGACAAGGGGTAAATTTTATGGATTCTTTTCGAAATGCCTTTTCTAGTTGCAAATCTACTTGGAATCAGTGCGAGGAGTTTCACGCGACTGATTTACTTCCCGAGTAACCACCAAGAGTCGATTTCGAAAACCGTCGTTTCGAGACACTTCTGGAGGTACCTGCACTACCGAAAACGGCGACTCGTAAGTTGCATTGACGGTTTCAGATACCTCAAGTAACAATTCTTAGGGTTTATAGGATTGTATTCTGGCTTTTTAATATGCATGAGACCATATGAGCATCACAAACCGCATTAGATCTATAAAATATCGGTAATTCTGCATCTCAAAATACGCAGGTGTGGACTCTACAAAGCAAAGATTTTATCAAATAAAAATACCCATTGAAATTCTAAGGCTGTGTGCATTGTGATTATTCAACTTGCAAAATGGGCCGGCTTTTTAACAAGTGCTGTCTGTAACCTTTTTTTTAGTTTTCTCCGAACACGGTTTTTTCCCAGAATGATTCCGGTTTTTTCGAAGACTCCAGTGTTCGAAAGCTCTCTGTACAGAGGAAACGCGCGCACCACCAAGATACACCCATCCGTATCCCCGGGTACTTCTTCAAGAGGCACAATGCTGGCGAAAATCCACTCGGGGTGTACCACTGTCGGGTGTTGAAACGCGTGGTTCCTCGGCGGCGAGGCAGGCGACAGCCCAATCGCGATGTTGTCAACACCCTTTCGAAGCACCTGTATTCCCTCTGCATCACCCTAGCTTTTGACCGGCTAAACGCATTGCTCCACGCCTCCTTGAACAGGTCAGTCGGGGATTATGGGTTAAGACGTTAGTCGGAGGACTTGGTTAACTTACAATCACGATGAATTCTGGTTGGTTTTAAAAAAAAGCATGCTGATGAATTACATTGCATAGTATCTCGGTCCATCCATCTTGACAAAATGGAGGCAAATTCTATACAGATGGACTGTCGTTTTGCGATTGAGGTTTGGGATTTCACTTTTAGCAAAGTAATTGGATGCATAATTTTTGGCTTTAATTACCTGATAGCCTTTGTAAAACAGAGTCAGGGATTCAATCAAACAATGGAGTAACGAAAAAATGTGGATTTAGTCTATGTCGCTGAGGCAGCTGGCCAAGTAATTAAGTTCAACCCTTGAATGAATTTGTCCCCAAAGATGACTAGAACAGGATACGTTGTATTTTGTTTTACCAAGATTGGTGAGGTGATTAGAAGTCCGGTCAAATCACCTTGCATTCATCTGCGTCTCTTTTGTGTCGGATACATTAAGCCTGTTTGAACGCATCGGGCACATTTACCTTGTTAGTTAAATTGATAATTACTCAACTATATTCTACTTTACTGGAGTTTTCTGCAGTGAGTCTGGATTTTGAAATGTAGAATCTCTAGAAATGGTGTCAGATTAAACCTTCTGCGAATCTGACTGTGTAAATTGTCATTCGCCTGTGGATAGGACCTCAACCAGTGATAAAACACAAAAATTAGGTGCTTTAAATCGTCCGATTGTTGTTTTAAATATCAAGAGCTCTCTGCCTTGTGTCTACGTGGCTTCTGAGGATTCACTTTCATCGTGAAATAATTCAACAAACCTGCAACTTTTCTGACTAGGTGGTTTAAGAATATTTGTGCGGGGTAGACGAGTTTTTAGGCTTGGTATCAAGAACCTCTATTTACATGTTTAGCGTTCTGATATGTCTATCTGAAAACTTACATATTATCACCGATCCCAGTACTACGTTGGTTCATTGTGATGAAAATAAGCCGGAGATAAGTAATCACTTGACAGTATTTCATTCCACATTGCTAAAAATGCCGACAACTGGTTTGCACTTTTGGCCTAACTCAAAATCTTGCTAGTCTACCAGGCGTTAGGAGAATAATGGTGCCTTGAAATGGAATTTTAGTATTTGTAAATAGTTACCCCCTTGACTAATACAACTTGATAGCAGTTAGAAGGTTCAAGGTGGTAACACTAGAGGCGTTTGAAGTGTGCCCTGAGCTAAAACTGAATAATGCAAATTTGCCTTTGGAAGAACAACTCGTCATAGCAGAGGACCATTTTGTCAGCATGCTTTACGCCATGTTCGCCGGCTCATTTCGACTTTAATAAACTTATCACAAAGAGCCCTTGTTGTCACAGCAAATTGCAATAACCATCGATTTCTCATGGATGGCCTTCTTGCTATACTAACAGGCTCAACTATGCAATTATCTAAGACGTACACCGCTTGACTGGGAACCAAATTCAGTAGTAATAGGTGTAAGTAGCGACGTTCGTACCAAATGCTCCAACACCCCTAACTTTAGCTGTCACCCATCACTGCCTACCTTGTGTGAACTACCAATTTTGCAGGTTGTGCTTGTGCTCTTTGGTTGCCAAACTGCCTCGGTCAGGTAAATGGGTTTCTCACACTGTGCTCCAGCGCTTCAATTGGCCCTCTTCAAGGTCACAAAATTAAATCATTCTGGACTAAGCATAAGGTTAATCGGTTTCTCCTCCTTTCTGCCCTCGGCTGCAGTAAAAGCCACTAATGAAAGAGGAACCAGTGGTGCTTTTGTAATCCCGTATTGGTGCAAAAGTTGGGGTATAAAAACCCTTTCTTTACAGAATCCTGACACTTCACTGGAACCTCGTCGTAACCAGATTTTAACTTTGTTCTTTTCAGGGACTCGATGGAGCCTGCGTTTAAAATCAAAATTTGTACCTTCCACCCGGCGTCGAGATCTCTCTTCTCAAATGCGGTGCTGGACCTCCTCCACTCGCGTTTCGCCAAAACCCAAACCGAGGTAGGCATTCAAAAATTCGGATAAGAGGAGTAGCGTACATCCTCCCCCTTGGTCAATTCACGCGTAATTTTGTAAAAACACACTTTTTTACAAAAGCATCCCATCAGGATTTGAGAGTCTTCACACAAATCGAAAATGTTGTTTTTAAATTCACACTTTTCCATCACAGGAGTCACGAGTGCTCAAAAATATTAGCCAGAAACGATTGCTAAGGATGTTATTGTACTTGGAACCCATCAATGGGTACGTAATTCCCTTGAATTTTGAGATAGTACCTTGAAGTCACAAGATTAGGTCTATTGCGTGACACCAACGATTTTTTTTGAAGAAGTTATATTTTGTGTCCTGATATTAATGTGGTTCTCTAGTTGAGTGATTTTAATTGATTAATTTTGATAATCTATCCTTAAATCTCAACACCGTAAAGGTCTGAAGACCAAATAAGCTAAAAGGGAGACCCTGAAGCAGGAGTGAGGTGGTCAGCAGAAAAGTTTGAATGTGCCCGAAAAAAAGACAGTGCCATTTTACTAAGGTATCGGATTACACCACAGGGTTTGCACTCATGCACACACATTCAACGGCTCGGGTGCGTGGTAACCACTCAAAACCTGTCCGAACAGCTGATTCAGCTGGCAGTTTATACCTCAACTTGAAATCCACGATTTGACTTGTACGCACCTGGGGCATTAGATGATCCAACAGGAGATTGAGTGATTTAATTCTGTCTTGAATGGGCTTTTAATTCCTAGGGCAATCGGGGGATCTGAGAGTAACAGCTCCCCTACTTTAAAGAAAGACCCTAACAATCTCCTTTTACTGTGAATTCATTTCTCATTTATATCGACGATTTATAATGGAGGAAAACAGCTCGTTATGGCCTCACAAACACTATGGATTCACGGCGCCTATCTTGATATGTTGCGATGTAAATTACACAGACAATCAGAAAGGGACACACTTCGAGGTTGGTGGACGTGGCAGGCAAGCACGACAAACGCTGTCAAATGCGAACAGCTGTATTCGACGTGCAAGCCACCAATTAAACAACGAATTCCATCGATGCGCCCAGTGTGAGCCGAAGTAAATTGCCACAGTGTACTTTATCGAGCAGACAGAATGCCAGAACTGCAGGTCAACAATCCGGCAATAGTTTTGATCTGCAGCCTTGCACAAGGGGTGCTTGAATTCAGGCAGAATGCGCGCCCTGTAATGGTAATTATGTGGGAACAGAAAAAAACGCCTTTTAATAAAGTGCTTCGTTGCGACGTTTAATGCCATGTGAATTACCGGGAATCTTGCACAACTGTTAGGCATTATACAAGCAGTGTTTTTTTTAAAACGCACGAGCGAAAACTAACTTCACATGCCAGCAACAAGGATCTGTTAACTGCAACACGACATTCCGTGTATTGCCTTTTTGTCGCAGATTTTTGCACAGGATACGCTCCAACGCACGCTCGATGACTTCTTCGAGGAGCAAGCAAGGATCATTCTTGCCAGTCTGTCACAAACCTGCCACAAAAAGCACCCGATGCCGCCCCGGGGGTCTGGCTATCTGTCAAGCCTGACAATGCGAGGTAAATCGCTGTCCTCACTATTTGTTGGCTTCGTAAAGTGTCTCATTGTAACGACAAGAACGGCAACACTCGATTTGGCCGGTGTGCGAGCGTACACACTAAAGCTTACTCTGATTAGCCAATGGTCTCAGTTGTGACTCAGCTACGTGGCCACCTTTTGTCCCCTACTGCCATTGTTGACCTTGTCGTAACAATGAAATGCGTCGCTTTGAAGGCTTTCGAAGACCATGAGGTCCAAAGGCACCACATTGGTCTACCATTTTGCGTTCAAATTTCGCATTACCACAGATGTATAAGAAAGGACCATCTCCTTCTTAACAGCGGTTAGACTCTCAGACCAATTAACTGACCATCTCGTGATCAATAAATTATTCAGAAGACGGATTTGCGACTAGGCTATCGAAACGTGTTGAAAGAAGCCATTGCCCTTGACTAACGCATTATTGTAGTCTCATTCAGTACCACGATCAGGAATCGTGTTATTCTTAATACCTACTGCGTTCTCTCTGTAAAATGATAGTGCAACATTAGGTAAGCTGGAAGAAATACATTAAACAACGGCCGCAAGCCACCACACAAAATGCTAGCCCCTTAGTCACCTAGTAACACCATCTGGGTTTCTTTGAAGATGTCTGACAGCATATCACGTCTCTTCGCGGCCCAGCTAGTCATAGTTCTAATCTACCCACCTAGAAAGAGGTGCTTGGGAATGCGGGTCGGCATGGGAGCGGCCATCATGCGCCCACTGAGCCCCAGTTACAGACATCATGTGAGAGCGGGTGCTGTCTAGATGTCAATTAGGGCATCTAGAATGTGACTTTTGGTTCCACTTTGAGAAAGTACTACTAACAAGGACTGATAGTATTCCTCTGTACAGCCCTGGAAGATGTGTTTTCTTCAAAAAATCTTTTGTTTTTACTAAATTGACAGAGGTTGGTGCCGGTCGAATCAAGGGTTTCAGCTCGTAAGGTTCTGATTTGGACTTAAGAATGAAAGACCTTGCGTTTCAGATAAGCAAATGTTTCCATTGTGTTCACAAAAGTCAGGTCCTAAGATGATATAGCTTTATCGGAGACCACGCGTTACCTTAGAAACGCTTTACATCACACCAATTTACAATTATTTAGCAAGAAAGCTCAGACTGCTGGTCCAAATTTCTTTTTGTCCTTATCAGAAACAAGTTAATTACAACCGGAATTAAGATCGTATTGAAAAATATGCATGCATGAATATATCGGAAACAACGGGCTACTGTATAGCTTCAATTAATTATGACACATTGCTTACCTATTGCCTTTTTTGGTTCCTGCGCTTGCAAGCGCCAACTGTCCTTCAAATATTTCTTACAATCAGCAACCTATGGCTCCTCTCGGACACTTTGAGATTCCGTTAGTCGCTGTTACTTGGGAACAAGGAGGACTAAGAAAAAATATGAAGAGTTTGACATGACTGTTTTGTAGGAAAAAAACACGCCTTGGCGTGAGACGCAGAGCAGAAGTCAAAGCTTCGTACTAGAGAGCAATTGGTGCATCGCTAAAAGGAAGCATTTGAGAGATTTCTTGGAAACATCTCGCTTAAAAGCGCTGGTCCCAGAACGATGATAAACCCTCCACGAAATTTCCCATTTAGTATTCATGTAGCTCAGTTCACGATCCACCATCATCGTACCAAATCAAATAATGCCACAAAGATCAATCAAAACACCAGAAGTTGCTAAAAGGCAATGGTGGAATAAGGTCACATTCATCTGAAGCAGAAACACAGTTGTTCTCGGACAAGTTCTGGTGAGAGGAAGGTGAATTATCATCGTTATTGGTTGATATCAAGAGTGGAGAGGGTCTATCGAATCAAAGTTTTGTGGACCTACTTATTGAAGATGGGTAACATTTACCCTTGACGGAATTAACGAAGTCTGAATGAATTGTTGAGTATCTTGTTCGACAGCACCTCTTCGGTGTTACCAATGGTTGCAACAAGCAGACAACTTCACCAACACAAGATTCTTCGACGTCCATCGAACCAGAGAATACGAAAAACGGTGCAAAGACGAATACGACAGAGTGGCCACAACCGTCTGCTTTGTCCGTTTGGAGTGATGCGTCAGTGTGCGTGCGGCGTTGCCTTAGCGTGTGTGAGCTTGCATGCTCGTGTTTGTGGAGTACAAGAGCCAATGATACCTGAGTGACTGACACAGTCGGCTTGCAGCAAATCTGTTTAGGCAAATTTCTGCCCATTTACCCTCTTCTGAAATCATAAAAATTGACTGGTTCTCGCCTTGCCTAACACCCGTTGGTAGGCCAGTGTCATCCTTATCAGCTAGCCCTGTCGGAAATCAATTTCGAGTAATTATTATCCTTTAAAAGTCTAAAAGACAAAAAACAAAGATGTGTTTTCGGTGGGAAAAATTAGACTTATTGGTGATAGGATTGAGCTAGAAGGCAAAGTTGGCTGAATCGAAATGACTAGCTGAAACAGCGGAGTTATCCTCGTATTATGGCCATGGCATATTTAGCGCAACTTTCTTCGCTTGCGTTACGGAGAAAAACAAAAGCCCTAAAGCTGACTGTCCAAGCCGCAAGGAGAAGACTATTTTTGTAGCCATCCCGTGCGAGTGAATCAGCGCATCAGGCTTGGGCAAAAGATGCCAAAGTGTAAGATACCAGGCCTCGAATTCACTTTGCCCTCTCGTGGTGATTCTGCTGGTCCCCTACGAGATCTGAAAGATCTTCCGAAAACAGGGCTTCGTCCATCTTTTGCATGGTGACACAGAGTGACCACTTATATCAACAATTTGTCAAGGTTCCACCAGTTACCATCGTATTATTAATTTCTGATTTATTACCGCCAGTTTTATGCAAGGTATCCTACGTTCATTCTCCTTATGTGATCGACGTGCTTGTGTCCCTATCCAGTAGACCCTGTTTTCACTTTTGTTCTTGCTCTGTGTGTAAAAATTCGTGATCTGTGTGGTCGGAAATTGTCGAACTTTGTTACGTTTGCCCGTAGCAGAGAGAAGACCACTAAAATAACGGTACCAGATCCCTCGCTGAAAGCTAGAACCGACCTTCCCAGGCTAATACAAGAACAAGACCAGAGCTCGAGCATAGAGCTTTATTCACGTCAGCCACGTGCAGAGAAGAAGTGAAATCGAAAGTAATTCGAAAGCTATCTCAAGTCAAGGTTGATCTTGACTTGATAAAAGCGTAACAAAACAAATGTTAATAAATTAATGTAAATAAAATCAGAAACCAATCCTGGGGAATCGTGGATCCCCAACAAACTTACGAGATGCTCCGCCTTTCTTGATAGTGCAGCTACACTGAATAAGCATCGGGATTGTAGAGCGTTGATCAGACTGGAGTTGAGTGCAGATAGAAGTCACGAAGTGGGATCGTAATTGATTTCTACGATTTCTTGCGTAATTGCGACACGATAACAATTAAAATGACGGATTTTATGTGACCGTGTGTGACCTATCCATTTCTCGAATCAGAAGATCTGTAAACCAGATATTCTTGGGGGAAAATGGACATAAAAATGGCAGTGGTTTGAAAAAAAACAGCAAAAAAGCAAAATGAACGAAGGGACACAACAGTTCTTTTCATGTGGGAAAGAGCTGTGATACAAATCGGATTTCAATCTGCTGGAGTCGATATAGGCGGAGCTGGCAGCTTCCAATAGAATTGTGGACACGTGCCGGCCAATGGCAGGTTCCAAACGATGCTGTCTTTTTCCTTCGACCCAATGAAATCGACTCATGCTGGGTACGAAATCAGGGTGTCAAAAACTGGTGTTTTCCTTGTCTATCGTTGTGCACCAATGTTACGCTGGGGGTGTCGCGGTGATCCTGCCTCTTAATTTTCCAGATCCGTGCATTACGCATGTTGTCACGTGACCTATGCCGTCTGCCCAGTCATACGCAAACTTGCACGCTCATTCCCCTTGTGAGGGTCACCGCCTGGTACTACCTGCCTCGTTCATTTACGTGACCTGGGCATCCAATTCTATATAGGATTGTGTCTTGCAATTTTTGTTTGTTAAAATCTATTTCTCGCTTAAATATCCACCCGTTTTTACTCCAAACGTCCACATTTCTGTCCGAAATGGGTGGATTTTGCAGACCATTTAAACCTACTTCCTGTCCTTTTTCTGTAGATTTCATATCTCAGACATTCCCTACCCAGCAAAGTGATTCCGAGAAGTTCTTTGTCATGCATTACCACGGAAAGGTAAGTAAGCCTTCGAATTAACTGCGACGGGACGCATAAAATCCGTAGTTGGCGTTAGCGCATGTGAGGTCACGCACGACAGTTTGGGCGTAAAACACTGGCACAGCTGTTGACAAAGTCGTGCGCGGCCGTGTCCTATCCAGGGAGGAGGAGGGGGGAGGCAGGAATTGACGTCCAAAATTTAGCCCTGTGGTTTTTCCCTCGTCTCCGGCCTTACCTGAAGTTCCTTGAAAACAGCTAAGTCGAGAGAGCCGGAATAAGCCGTCACTTTGAAGGGCAGATTTAATAAGCCGCAAGATTTTTTGTCTTAGATTCTATGATTTTGAAATGATTCAGTTGTGGTGCTTCCATCTTTGTTCACTTAGGAAACATACTCCCTGAGCGACCTTCTCCACAGCTTCAGTCCCTTGCATCAAAGTGAACAAATTCTCAGGCTGCTGAGCTGTTCGACATTTCCATCGGTAATCGACAGCAAGGTCAGACAAGGTATGCGATTTGCCTCGATAGCGATTTATTGTGCTCTCGACTAGTTCCGACAGCTTGGCTACACTGGCATTCTGTTTTATTTTTAGATGTGCACTCTTCCCCAGTAAGTGTTAGTTGGTTTTCATTCCCCCGTCTTGATAAAGAGAAAGCGACGCGCATTTTTTCTTCAATTTCAGGGCATCAGCGGTCTTCTGCCCGAGCTTATTTTAGGTAACTCGGACGTCAGTTTGATAAGGCAAGTACTGCTGATGGCATTGTGCAATTAAAAAGTGAAATCTGCCTGAAATACCAACGCATTCGTCTCGCATGCAATGGTTTTCACCTTGCTAGCTGGCGCACATAATTACAGCATTTCTCTGAAAAGTACTAGTACTCATGACCTGATAAGTTATAATTGTCGGGAAAGGCCTGATTAATAATGCCTAAGATTCATTGTAACTTTAAATGCAATTTTCTGCGTTGTGGGTTTTGGACTCAAGCAAGTAATATCTTTTCCAAGCCTCTAGTTAAGTTACATTTTATTTCCAGTATACTCGACGACGGGAGAACGGAATCAGTCGACTATCCGCAGGGAAAGAGTTCCACGCCGCAGCTGTCCCCGTCAATACCAGGAAAGTTGACCTCACAACGGCATTTGAAGGTTTTCCAGGACTCTGGCCTGTTGAATTTCGCTGCAATCAATAATTCGGCCTCGGGATTGACCGTTGTGCGAGGGCATGAGTTGTTTAAGATGTGCGTGCCCCTTCGACTAACTCGTGACTTAATTGTTTTACTTAAATTTGCCAGTAGTGTGTATTTTTTCTTGTAGGTTGCGCGTCCTACAATACGATTGGCTGGAGGAATCGAGTGCAACCCAGTCAATCGAAGGCCTTGTCCGCAAGCTAACTACAGCGAAGCCATGTTTCTCCACAGGTGAGACGAATTTGCTCACAGCAGTTAGGTCGTGTAACACTTGCATAACGCATTTCCCGATTTTAGCTAATGTATGTCCACCCAGGTGGTTCTCAGCCATGAGTCAGAAGCCAAGTTATCGAACGGAGTGCATTGTGAAGGCGTTTTCTCATTTCGGACTACTGGATGAAGTGTACTTTGTATCTCCGGATTGGGTAAGTAGTGGAACACATTTAAGCACGCTTGTTATCTACTTAAAACAACGACATTTTAGAGGACAAACTGAGGTGAAATCATTTTGACTGTTTGTCATCACATGTTGGCAGTGAATCACATTACCAGCTATATAATTAGGCGCATGTCGAAGGGATGGACTGCTATATTTTGCAGACTCACGGTAACAGACCTCACGGTAACATTTAAACGGATTCTGTTCGACATTTTATCCAACAGAATTCCAATTTTTGCTATGTGGACGGTTCCGCGTTCACTGCTACGAACCAAATCGACGAAGATTCATGCGGGTTGCTCAAAAATGCACTTTCGTTACTCATAACTACTTAGTAGTAACTCGTTTATGATTGTATTTTGTGACGGGATGAATCGCCGGAATCTGACAAAATCTTACTGTCTGTAAATGGCGTCTCTTTATTTGCCACCTAGGTGCTTTAATCGTTAACAAAGACATCAGTCGAATGTCTAAATTCGTTTTTTCAGCTGTGCTGGGAAATGCTCGCTAAATATGTCGACATTCTGACAACGCACTAACATTTGACGCGTTTGTAGGCATTTTATGTCCAAATAAGATCGCTTTTATTAATTACAAAGCTAATTGGTCACGGTTAAAGCGTAAAATATACCCCTTCAGGGAGTATCAACTAAATTTTGCCAACATTTAACTCGGTTTTTGTGGTTTTTTTTTCAAATCGACGGCATGAGATATAAGGGTTGTGTTTTAGCACCTAAGAAATACAGGTGCAGTTAATAATTTATTCTTTTAGTTAGGTTGTCTGATAGGGGAGTTTTCTCATTCGCTGCTACGCACGCCACAATATGATATAAAGTAAAGGAATATCCCAATATTAAAAAAACGCGCGTACTTTTTTTTACTGAGTAGTAATGAACTAACATTGTAGGAGCCTCAATCACCAATAGAACCTGGAATTGCTTGACTTCGTGTATTCTGTAATGAATTAAGCTTAAGATGAGCAATAAACGCGTTTTGCTGTATTTCTGGTCAGGTTCTACTGTCTTCCAACGCTCTGAAGCGACTCAAAGTCGAGTTGTTTGCAATGACTTCGGCGTGCAAGAAAATTCAGCGATGGTGGAAGCGTAGGCATCTTGTTCGCAAACAGTACATTTCCCAAGGCGGTAGGTTTTGTTTGTTTTTCCAGATTATTTGCACTCATTGGCTACAGTAGACTCCGTAGTAAGATATCAGCGAGAGTTCAGTATTGATCGTTTGTAGCTGCTTGTGAGTTACTCAAGGTAAAAAGCCAATATAACTGTTGACAAATCAGTGAACTATCAATTCATGCACCAATCAGCATCGCGGCAACCGGTATACGTGAATTACGCTTACTTAAATACATAAAAGAAGTACATGCTTACGTAAGAGGTTCTGTAAAACATTCAGCCCACTCTGTGCTGGGGTGCTACAGCCAATCTGACACGTCAACCACGTCATCCTCCAATCAGGTTTTCTGGACACACAAAATGAGTACCACTTCCGATTAACGCGAAAATGCTACTAGCCTGAATTTGCATTCAGGCTAGCCAATGATATTTGGCCTACGTTGTAATCCTAGAGTCGCCCTTAACACTGATGGATATCTCCAATTTGGCAGTGGTGTCCCCCAAAACCACAGACGAGGAAGAGGACAAACCACCACTTCTTGGTTCCCAGTCTAGCGACTCCAGCATCTCGGCGTACGTGGTTGCTAACACAGTTGTCTCCCCGATGCTCGCGATCTCAACGCAGAACGAGGTGGCCAGGGAGGTCTTGCGTCGGCCTCCGCTGTCTGCCGGTGTCGCCTGGTTCGAGCCCCGCTATCTCCGACCCCCTGCCTTTCCTCTGTCGGCCCGGAACGACCGCAGAAATTCCACCGGGGTACGACAATTTCAGGAAATTCAATTTCGCGTGTTTTTTTATCTGCTGTCTGTTTGTTGTGGCCATCATAATGGTGATATCTCTCAGTGACTTTCGTATTGGTTCAC